ACATACAAGGCACTGTTGACACATAATGTACTTCACTTACATGACCTAAATATATTGATGTAACTGGCTCTTCTAATAACTGAACAGGCTGTACTATAGTTGTGTGACAAAAATTTTCATGGGATTCTATGATGTGAATTCTCAAATAATGTGACTCTTCAACTGCTTGAACAATGAGTGCATCACACCATGTACCTCGTAATGACATGTTGGTCAAATATTCATTCCATGAATTCTGGGTATTGCTTTCAATGAAATGTTCTGGGTTTGCTCTTAGATAATCAATACCAGTTTGCCTAACATGCAAGTGATGGCATGGATCACCATATAACTGATGAAAAACAGCTCTAAAAAAACAGTCACCAGCACCCCCAACATCTAGGGGTCTAAATCCCAGCTGACGTAACCGAAAGTTTAACAATATGGTGGAACCAACTGATACTGTAGTTTCAGTGTTGACATTTACATGTAGTTGAGGGCCTGGATTTAATTCAATATCACCTGAAGTCATAAGCTTCATTCTTGATACAGAAAATCTTCTAGAATGGCTGCTTGATTTCTTTAAAAGCTTATTTACGGTTGGTTTGCTTAGATTAACAAAGCTGGTGAAAAAACTGTCACATCTCTAAAGATATCTTATGTAACACAACTTATGGTCAGTAGCAAAGCTGTATAGCCTCGAAGACTTAGGAATAATTATATTTCCTAATGATGACCTTAAGTTTATATCTTGTTTTTCTTTTTTTCATAAACTGCACAATCCGTTTCATCGAGACCCTCGACGGCTCTCGGTCTCTACGTCGTTTCTTTTGTTTTTTGTCAGCTGTTTTGAAATGTGTATCAGTTTCATCTGTTCCACGTGAACACAACATATCCACATCAGTTGTTTTCGAGAAATCGCTTACATTACGTTTAATCGCATTTATACTGCTACTAACATAACTTTTTCTGTTCATATATACCACAGCTTTCGCAGATGTTTCGTCAGTAGAAGGAGTCTTTCCTTTAACATCAGTCAGGTTTCTCGCTCTTCGATATACATTTTGTGTAATCTCCAAACGGGCAGGCTCAATAATCCCCACAAGGGGCTCAATTTTCCCCAAAAGGAGCTCAATGTTTGCCTTTACGGCCTTTTCTTTTCCCCAAATGGAACTCACGAAGCTGAAGTTCTTTCCTTTACGCATCGTAAACAACACCGCAGCATGACTATTCTGTTGGCGTGGAGAGCATCGATCGAACACTTGAAAACATCCTTTAAAGTCTTTTACTCGACCACATTGACTCAAACTTCGAAAGCTGTGGCATACTGAGAAACCAACGTTATAGAAGTTCATCATAAAGTTTACAAGAGCAAAAGGACACTCACCAACTTTCCGAAGTGTGATCCACAATTGTGAAATTCCTCCTTTCCTCAAGGCACGGGTAAAAGCACATGGTGGTCAAAGATCAGAGTCATCATCATATTTTCGTCCCCGAATTCAATTGCTCCCGACTCTTCCTTGCGGTTTTCTACTTGAATCCAATTGGTCAACCGACAGTTTCCGAAATTATAACGATAAAATATCGACATGGTTACACATTCCACTGGTTGAAAATCAGTGTACAATTCATGTTATCTGTCACGTAAGGTAAACTATGAGTAAAACATCATATTTCGTGCTCAAATGTGGCGTATATAAGGTGCTTTTCGAATTCCGTACGCTCTTCTATTGTGTCTGCGTGCTAACGCACTAGACACAAAAAGCCTATAATGCAACTGAATAAAGTGCATCGGCAGAATCGAAATAAAATGGGTGAAGATCGTCAACGAAAATTGACAGCGAATCATCAACATTTTAACAACTGAATTAAACATTTAGTAGGCCTAGAGTGAAAAGTAGTTTATTTAAATAGTTTTTCCCTTCTGAACAGTTTTGAGCTCATTGTAAATTAATTTCAACTTACTGCCAAAGCTAATGGAAAACTTATTTTTTGTTTTAATCATTACCTTTTTAGTGACACCGCTGAATCCTAAGATCTCCTTTCTTTTAAATGCGAAAATTAAAAGCTACTTTTGAGTTTATTTGCTACAATCGTGCCAAAAAAAACATCTCTTTGGGCATCATGATTATTTCAAATGAGTCAATCAAGTAAGAGATCGTTAACGCTTGCAACCATCTGGTGACGAATAACGTAACTGTATTACCGATTGCTGTTAAAATTGGTCCTTTTAAAAACTCCGGAGATTTTAGTATTACGAAGAGTTTAAAATTTGGTTTTTCTCTGTTCTGTAGAGTTTTGCTTCTCGCATTTTTTTTTCGTACCTGTTTCTATTTCGTGTTTATTTCGTGGTGACAAATGACCTAACTATTTTACCAGCGTCATCGGTCTGTGTAACCGATTGCTGTCAAAAATTGGTCCTTTTAAAAACTCTGGAGAATTTAGTATTACGAACAGTTAAAAATTTGGTTTTTCTCTGTTCTGTCGAGTTTTGCTTCTCGCTTTTTTTTCGTACCTGTTTTTATTTCGTGTTCTTTTGTTTTGTTTCGTTTTTTTAACAGTTATTTACAATTGAGAAGCGTTGAGCTATTTTCAGCGACCGACAGCAAATATAATTTAAAAAGCCTATAATGGAACTGAATAAAGTGCATCGGCAGAATCGAAATAAAATGGGTGAAGATCGTCAACGAAAATTGACAGTGAATCATCAACAATTTAACAATTGAATCAAACAACTAACAGGCCTAGAATGAAACTCGTTTTAGTGATCCGAACAAGACCAGAAGAAAACAACTAATCATGATAATGTCTTTCTCACCTTTTTCCTTCTGTTGAAAATTTGATTATTTCCAAAGTAAATGGAGAGTCGCTAGATATAAAACCACGATCCGTGATGACACAAACAATAAAAAGGAAGAATATGACGAGTATTTTGCATAAGGATGTATTTCACAATCCAATAACTATTATCTTTATATGTTTATGACCTCACGTCGAAGGGAGCCAATAAGAGGACATCAAAATTGTCCCATTGCAACCATCAGGTGTGGAATTAAGTAAGTGTTGACTATTCCCTTCTAAACAGTTCTGAGTTGATTTTAAATTGATTTCAACTCACTGCCAAAGCTTATGAAAAACTGAATTTTTTTGTTTCAATCACTATGTTTTAGTGACACCGCTGAATCCTAAGATCTCCATTGTTTTTTATGCGCAAATTAAAACTACTGTTGAATAAATTTGCCATAATCGTGCCGAAAAAAAACATGTCTTTGGGCATCATCATTATTTCAAATGAGTCAATCAAGAAAGAGATCGTTAACGCTTGCAACCATCGTGTAACGAATAACGTAATTATTTTACTAGCGTCACTGGACTGTTGTAAACGAGAGCTGTCGAAATTGGTGCTTTTACAAACTTCGGAGATTTAGCATTACAGACAGTTCAATATTTAGTTTATCTTTTTTCTGCCGAGTTTTCCCTCTCGCTCTATTTTTTCGGTACCTGTTTTTATAATGTTTTGTTTTGTTTTGTTTTGGTTTTTTTTTTTTTTAGCAGTTATTAGCAACTGAGAAGTGTTTAGCTATTTTCAGCGACCGACAGCAAATATAATTAATCAAAGGGCTCTTGGAGCCAGCTCATTCATGTTATGGCTTAAGTTTGTATTGATATCTTGGACTTGTTGAATATAGGTACAGTTGAATTCAGTTTATGTGAAATTTCAAGACTTATGGAACAAATTTTACTTTTCTTTTTGGGCAGTTGTGTGATAAGAAAACTTGTTCATTTGTCGTGATGGGAATTGGAAATAAGGTTATGTGGGCTGGAGGTGGGATGGGCAGAGGTCATTAGGCAGACAGTGTCCTTTTTGTTGGTACGTTTGTGTGTTTGTGGGGCGGAGGGTGGGCTGGTTGGGCATGACCGGGCATCAAATGTTGCTCAAGCAGCAAAATATTTATAACCCTCATCTTTCATGATCATTTGCACTATTGTGAAATATTCCTTGCTCGTTTCTTGATATCTTTTGTTTTTAATAAAGCGGTCGTTGCATTTGGTATTTAACAAAGCGGCCACAATCGTTCTTAATAGAATTTCAAGCCCCCATATAGTCTGATTTTCACATATCAATATTTGCGTAATCCCCAAACAGATGAGAGATAAAACCATCAGAAAAGTAATCAAATGGCCAGTCACGAAAGCAACGCTTCGCTTTTCCCTATAAAAATTCGCCGGTTCCTCATGTAAGCCAATAACAATATAAGGCACATATGTGAAAATCAGTGCGCGAACAGCCCTAAACGTTAAAAATATATCAAGTCGAGGGAACAGTTTTGGTCCCGGCCCGCATTTTTGTCAACAAAGTGAACACATATCGGTTAAAAAGATGAAACGTATGGACCACGTGCAAAGCTGTCAATTGTTTCTCGAATATTGCGCGTGTTAAATATTCGATAGTGACATCTCATTTACATCTACATCCACTTTTATTAAGTTGGTAAATTCTGTGCCGACGTCACACCAAGTAACTCGCGCGCAAAGTGAGAAGACTCTAGGAAGGCTTGAAATTATTTTCAGAACGTCTGTGATCAAGAAACGGGCAAGGAATTTTCCCCAATATTGCTAATGTTCGTAAAAGATGATCGCGGAAAAGCGATTGCGTGACGCTCGGTAAGTTTTAATATGATATTTTATCACGTATCAGACGAAAAAACAGTATAAATTCTCAGTCTGCATTTGGTAACCAGTCTGCAGTCTACATTTTATACCTAGTCTGCATTTTGTACCCGGTCTGCTGTCTGCAGTCTGCATTTTGTACTGACCGGATTGGTATTGCTGTTTTTGTTTGAGCGAGCCTCAAGTCCGGACCGAAATAATGGAGCTCGAAAAAAAATATTTAGACCATCTTGGCCGCTATAATTGATGTGTTCACTGTATGTTGAAGAGCTCCCGAGCACAAGCACAATGATAGAGTAATGATTACTATATACCAAATGAAGACGAACGCAAATGCGTGGCTTGCCAATATGACTGTCTCTGATGCTGATGCTCTTCTGCGTGGTAACGGCGTGATTTGAAATGAACCCGCTAAAGGTCCCCTAGGTGTGAACATTTTGGCTTTTCGATTCAAGTTGCATTTTTAGAAGTTTAGAAATGTGATTTGAGGTTATCATTGTTCACGGTCTACAATGCAACTTCCGTCCACGGATACAACTTCCGTCAACATCTGCTCCACCAAGATACCTCATCCATTGCTTTCAGCCTAAATGAGCTAAAAAACCCACAATGTAATTAACCAAAGTGCATCATGGTAAATTCAATCGGCTGAATTGAAATAAGACGGATGATGATCCTCAACGAAAATTGATTATACACAGCTTTCATCAACAATTCAACAACTCAGTTAAACAACTAATAGGCCTCGAATGAAACGTTTTAATGATCCGAAGGATACCGGCAGAAAACAAATAATATGATAATAATACCTTTCTCAACGTTTTCCTTCGGTTGAAAAAAATTATTCCCAAACAAAGTGGAGAGTCGCTAGATATAAACCTCGTTCCGTGATGACACAAATAATAAAAAAAGCTCCCAGCCGGTAAATAACATGTTTATTTTTTTTAAACTTGACGAAATTCTTTCCGAAAGGATCCCGAATGATTTAGGGCTGTAAATACGGCAAGATCCTCCATAAAATGAACAATTTTTGAGCGAGTAAAAGGTAGGTAAAATAGAGGTGATGCAAATTAAAGAGAGATACCTCACCGAAACATTTTCATTTGCGTGAGAATAAAAGTGATTTAAAAGGCTTCCAAACAAACTTTGAAACATTATTTTACAAGTATCTGTCACAATCTGACACCTGTCAATTAGAGAGTGCGTAAGAAAAAAAAAGCGCAAGAACATTTGAAAAACAACGGAACTAGTGTGGCAAGGACTGTCACGGCAATGTTTCCTTCAAAAACATTCAATGATCTAACGGAAAGTATTATTCACTCTCATCGACGATTCATTCATGTACGAAGATTTACCTCTGTTCATTAAGTAAACGGCGAGGAAAGTAATTGTGAGTAAATTCAAATTTTTTATTTTGAAGTTGTGAGAGTTTGCTCGTTTGTTTGCTGCAATGGCGTATGTAAATCTGGTCTTTCCTCCACAAAAACTAAATTCGAATGGCACACTCCAACGAAGAGGCGAAGAGGGGGGAAAGGGTCCTAAAAACTTTACCTGATCCCCCGGAAAGATTTCTAGCATTCTAATAATCCCCCATCATTGGCAATTGTAATGTCAATGATTCTATCAGAAAACGGTAGCCTGCTCACCGAGGCCCCTAAAAGAAGGGAACAGTAGATGGGCGAGTGGGTGTATGGGATAAAAGAAACATCCAATTTGCCATGGTCCCTCCTTTTAACTATGTTAGCGCTGACTTTCCTCCCAGCTCCCCTTGAAAACGTTATCACTCCCTAATTCCCCCCCCCTGTTTTTCTCTCTTTAAATTCTTCCAGTTTGATAAAGGAAATCAAAAGGAACTAAAAGAGATTCCTAGCTCAGTAGTATGGCTCTTTCTCAGAGCGGAAAAATTGATTCGTACGTGTTCTTGTGGTCAGGCCATGTATAGCGGCCAACGACCACAGTCTCTCTTTTAATGGCCCTTAAGGTTGTTTTATACGACTAAGAACTCTTCAGATTGCAACACCAAGTCACAAGAGGGGCCTTACTTTACTGGAGTCATTCATAACCAAACACTGCGCCCTTTGGCCTTTCCATGAAGTTTGATACCAAACAACATCTCGAGAATATCTTTGAACGCCACTCATTATAATTGAATAAATAAAAGATTGCCAGCTTAACTATGATACAAGAGAGGTCAGTTCGCAGTTAGCGATGGGTTCACTGTCTGTATTGCTAAACAGCTTTCATTTTAATCACATTTAAAGTTCAATAACAAAAAGGCTCTAAGATTAATTTAATTTGAAATGCAGTGTAGAACGCATTTTTATCTATGGACACATCAAATCTCCTCATGAAAATGATGGCATGATGATGACCAGTGAAGTATGAAATTATAACTTTGCTTCGCCGGAGAAACTCCTGCACCATCGACGGTGCACATAACAAGGAATAATGAGTCCAATATAGCTGTTTCTTTTAAATGTCTAAGCTTTTCGCTGTTCTGTTTTACGTTGAGAGGTTAAAGGAAAATTTAAAAGTGAGCTGGGTGTAAGCGGAAGTTCCGGATCAGCACGGTATTGATATTTTAAACTTCGAGAATGTGCATATTTGTGAACTCGCTTGGTGGCTTGAATTAGGAGTTATGTTGGCGTAAATCGGTCGTGTCTTGTCCTCACATTGAATAGGGTGGCTTATTCTCACAACTCGTCAAATTATAACTTAAATTAGTTTTAACCTGAACAGTTGATGACGGAGGGATGTAAATTGAAGTAGCAAGATCGTCATCCGCAACTTGCTTTAATCGTGTCTATAAATATAACCAGCCCTGTTCACGCTTGATTTCTTGTTGCATCTCCTACGATTTCGTATCTTACCGCAAGAATTTATTGAGACCCCTTCTTGGGCTTTGGAGGCAAAATAATTTAATAGTTCGAAATATAAAGACGTGTGCCTCAAATTTTTTTCAAATCTGTCACTTGCATGCTACCCGTTGTAATATTCTCCATCTTTCCACAAACGTTCCCGTTCCCACGTAATTTTTCCGTGCTAAGAAGAACAACTCAAAGCACTGTCATGTAACTCATCTTGGGTCGTTGATATCGATATAAGACACGCGCAGAGCATAATTCTCACAGATAGCGTGTACACTCTAGTCACGTGAAATGCCTGAGTTATAAATAGCACAGCCTTGCTTTGCCTTGCCTTTAAATCGGCTGTTTGCAGTAGCGGCAAAATCACACCCAGGTTTCCTCCATAGAGGTCTGCTACAACTCTCGCGTCCATGAGTCGTTGCTACTTCGTTCCTTTCCGTCTCTGTCGCTTCCCGGGTTCTTCTTATGATACCAACCGGTAAGTAAGATTCATAATCTTTGTTTCATGCATAACATGTTCGTAGTTGCCATATAAATAAAATGAAGGAAATTAGTGAAAGTTATAGGTTCAATATGTGAAAATAGATCAGTTCAACACTAAACCCTTTTCTAATCACAGTTACACAGGCAAATAAACCAAGCAAGTGTATTGCATCTGTCAAATTTGCTCGTCTTGATTGCTAGCTGCCGCTCTTTTGCGAAAACGTTGGACAAGGCCACGCTCTCTTTTGCATGATTGAATTCGGAGTGAACCATATGGTTTAGACTAAAAGGCCAGCTGCAGATCATAGCAAGTGGTCTGTTAGCCAATCGTACAGTCATCTTTCATTCTACTCGATGGAGTCGATGTCATAACAAATTAGTGATCGAAATTAGTAAATGGTCTCATTTTTTATCCCCCGAGCAGACTGCCACCTCAGCTCAAAAAGGAAAGCTGACTGCTTTGCACACTTATTGAACTTGTTCTTCCGAAAAATTAGGCCAGAATATTGCCTCAGAACACTTTCTTTGGTTTTTCATTTGGTGTAGTCAAATCAAGATGCGTATATCATAACAACGAAATCTTTGTAGCCACTTTCAACGACTCGCTAGAATTAAACTGAGTCGCTGTGTTGTGATCTGCGTGAGCGGCCTAGGAACTCCATTGACAAGGTAAATAGGAGCACATAAAGTTTAAATAATGCACGTAGCCTTTTAATTCCCTTTGCTTTTTTTCGCTTTCCATTTTCCTGTTTTGTGTGGGAAATAAACAGGAACTTAAAATAACTCCTAGAAAAACAGTTCGATGGGCTTTTGCTGAAAGCGGAAAAACCGATTCGCACGTGTTCTCAAGATCGGGCATGTCCTCGAAGAATCCTTTTGCAGCTAACAATTTACACGTTTTACACGTTTACACAATTTATGATGCAGCATTATATTTCGGAACGGATCACTTTTCAACTGCAATTATGATCGGATAAAAACTCAGCAGAGGGTTTATCGTTAAGGGAGCAAACAGCACAACACTTTGAAATGCAGCTGTTTCAAATCAGTATCGACCGGACTTCAAACGTGTTGCGTTCTCCTGCTGACGTAATTAGATCAAGGATAAGCCTACTCGTATACAGTTAAGAAATCATAATCCGCAGGCGTGCAGCGGTGGATAATCGATTGTTGTCAGCTTGTTTTCATTCACATGAGGCTTAATGCAGTTAGAACCTTCTGCTTGAGTACCGCACACGTTTGAATATCACAACTGAATTTGGAGTGCCACACTAGGATAATAATTATACAAGAAAGATGATAAGTTAAGCTATGTACAACAGTGCGTTTGGCGAGGAAACCTTCATGAAACCACAAGGCTTGTGCAAAGCTAGGTGTCCTCCCAAAACAGAGAACTAAAGTTCGTACCAATATTTAACAATTGTTATAATATGAATCAATCGCCAACATACATTCTGTGTTGAAGGTAATTTAGTGTTAACAACTGAGTTGAAAACGTAAATTAGCCACCGTAGAGGGTAAAAAAGCTGACCTTTCGAGTGTTAGCCCTTCGTCAGAGCCAATCGCTCTGACGAAGGGCTAACGCTCGAAACGTCAGCTTTTTTACCCTTTACGGTGGCTAATTTACGTTTTCAACTCAGTTGTTAACACTTAATTACCTTCTATACTCTCCCACCGACGCAGAACCACAGTTTCTTTAGAAACTTACCCCTTTATACATTCTGTATTGAGTCGTAAGAATCATATGCTAACCTTTGTATTTCTTTTTACCCAACAGCTATGTCTCTTCAGTGTTACGAATGTAACAACCTTCCACAAGTTCTTGGCGGAACTAGTTGTAACCTCGACAATGTGAAAAAGCTCATTTGTCCTCCTTTTTACGACAGATGTATGAAGATGAAGTATGACATGTCTATCGGCATTGGTGCACCGCAATTCGTCGAGCTTAGAAACTGCTCAGTTAGCGCAGCCTGTGATCCCCAGTCTGACTTTAATTGTAAGCTCTAGAAAGAATTTCCTCTCCATCTTCACTTAAATCGCATAACATGACGATTCTTCTTTGTTCTTGTTAAACCAAAGTCTTAGTTTGATTTTACTAGCGGTATTACACCACGTATTTCTTTCTGCTAAAGGATCTTAGTCAACCACAAATCATTGCGCGCTTAGTCCTCCATTTTCTATGCCCTCCAATTTCGTAAAATTTCCATTGTGGCCTACCATCCAAGTGCATCCGAGCGATATAATATATTTAAGTCTTCAATTGTCGTATCATTATTACTGAACAGACGCACGGCAACTTGGAATCTATTTGTTAATTAGATGATGAATTATGAAAACTGAAATAGTCCGTGAATGCAAAAATGAAATTCCGTGAGGAAAGCGCCAGGGGAGATTTGTTATGACACTATTTATAGGAAAAAGCTGATAAGCAGGAGACATGGTTTATATCATGCGTGACATGCCCTGCTAGTCAGGTTTGGTGTATGCAGCCAAAAAAAAAACAAACAAACAAGGGTTGTGCATGCAGTTAAGTTTCTACCTTTCAAGGGTAATATTTGTAAATTAGTTTATTTCATATGTTGCTGAGTGGAAATAGCATTTGGGGATTTTTAAGGTCGTTGAAACTCTCACCTCTGTGGTTGAATCTCTAACTGAGAACTACTCATGTAAAAGCTGTTATTCAGTTCGTGCTGCTATGGTCACGTGCTAATTTTTCATGCTGTACTAAGTGCTTCTGACTTTTGGGAGTATAGATAAAATCTCAGTGACCATTCCTAAGAACGTTACGGAGCTGCAGTCCCATGTTAAACGGTGTGCTAGATACTTCCTTTCGATCTTTTGATCCTGTGGATAAAATCCTTGTGAGTGCTTATTTATCTCCAAGCTACTAAAAGAAGTATCTGCTTTCATGCAGAACACCAGAAAAGCTCCTGTGTTGTTAAGTTATTACATGTAATTTCACATTGATTGAAAACTATTTTTTTTTAATTCAACAGCGTGCAAAATGCTCAGTGATGGCGGTCTAGTCTCCAACTGTACAATGGACTGTTGCCAAGGCGAATTGTGTAATACTGGAGGGTCCACTTCAAAGCCATCTACAGCTGGGGAGGGCTCAACTAAAAAAGGCATCCAGTCCACTGCAAGTGTGGTCCAGTCCACTACATCTAAACCATCCGGCGCAGTACTGGGACCAGCTGTGAGCCTCGCCAGCATTTTGTCTGCCGTAGTTCTACCAAAGATTGTGGGATTTAACTAAGACCAGCTATCTCTTGCTATTTCATTTCATAAATTTTGCCACTTAAAGCTCGCTAGTTCTAGAAAAATATGATACACTGTTTGTTACCAATGTTAGTTTTATTACTAGTAAGGATTTAGAGTGTAACTGATTTCATCCTGGGTGAAAACGCGTACTGCTTTAAATAAAGGATTTTGTTAACGAATTTTTTGGTCCAAAAATATAAGCCAGAAACAAAGGAATAACAGTATGTTCCTTAAAAAGAATTTTAAATCATCCTCTAGGAAAATGTATATAATTTCAAATTATCTAAGGGAAGTCTTTCTCAAATTACCGTCCCACCAAGAAATTGTGTCACGAAATAGGTTAAGCTCCAAGAATGTGATGATAAATAAGTTAGCCAAAGTATTCATCAATTGCAAGGCAGGTTTTACAATAACCTCCGCAAGTATCTTTTTTTTTTAATGATTTCCTCTCAAATCGTTCCTTAAATTAGTTGCTGGTATGGAGGTGGAATAAAAACAGTTCACTATTCGATATTTTCCAATCCTGGTGGAGAGAGGCCATAACTCGCTTTCCCCTATTAATTTTACGTCTCTTGAAATAAGTGTTGCATCGACGCATGCGGGGTGAAATTTGACCTTTCAAGAAGACTGATACGGTAAAGGGAACTTTAACATGTTTAAAACTATGACCTGCTTCATCAATAGCATTGCTACACGCGTTTGAATTTAATTCCCGGCTCAGTGACTGAACATTACCTGGAGTAATCTGTAAGCTTAGTAAACGCATTTGAATTTAATTCCCAGTTCCGTGACTGAATTTTACCTAAAGTAATCAGTAAGATTAGACTTGGTTAAAAACCATACACAAAATAATCCGATTTCGAGAAAAGCGGGTCAACTTTCCTTACATTAAAACGCGACTTCGCATCCAACTGAATGCTGGGATTGGCCAACCTTGTACCAGGTCATGTTGTTTCGCGCGGCCTTGATCTTGGTTGTTGTGTGAGATGTAGAGCCAAAAAAGCTTCGCAAATTCTTTTAAAATTGTATTTTAGCAAACCTTTTTTTCTCTCCCTGATGGTCCAAGGACATCATTGATCTGAGTGGGATTGTGAAAATGATCATAGACATCCCGAAATGTAAAAAATTTTAACGAAATGTTTTATTTCCAATTCGTGGGTTCGCACAGAAGTCCGTTGTTACACTTTCCGTTCCATCCCGTTTCGCACGGGCTTGCTCTTGTTTGTCATAATCTCGAAAAGCTTCTCAAACGTTTCAAAAAGTGTATGTTTGCAGACCTTTCGCTCCTTTCGCTCGATGGGTCGAGGAGAACATGTAACAAACCAAGACATCTTGTAAGTTACGTAAATCTTTTACGTAACTTTTAGAAAATAAAAAAATCTTTTAGAAAATCTTTTATTTACATTTCGCGGTAAAACTTGAGTTCAAGTCATTTTCAGCTTCCATCACAACTTTGGCAGTGTTTTCTTGAGGCACAATTCCGCCTGTTTTTTTTTTTTCTCTTCTTGGTCCGATTTTTAAAGAGTGCTTTACTCTTTTGGTTTTCCTCAGAACTTGAAACATTTCAGACACAAATCAATGAAAATGCAACATGCAAATTTGTCGGGCTTACCAGATAATCGCGTGTTACCAGAAGCTATTACTGAATAAAATGCAACGAAAAATGACCTACAAATGTCTCTTTATTCAAAAAAAGGGCCAAAATTGACCGTTCAGAAGCAAAAAAAGAACGAATTTCTAGCATTTACGATACCCGTGTGATAGATTTATCATACTGGAATCGTTGTTTACAGGACTCACGGTCATAAAATTGCGTAGCGTTATGTTGAAAATTCTAGAGCAATTAATTTTGTATGTGGTCTAAGTTTACATATCTTGAATTAATTTTGAGAGAACCTGAGCTTGTAATTGGTTTATATTTGGTTTCCTCGCCATTAATCTGTTTTGTCTTCACCAATTTTTATATTTTTTACATTAATGAAAATCGTAGAGTAAAACAAATAAATATAAAGGGTTAAATCCTTCACATGGTCTTAAGAGATCTGTTCAAATTAAAATAAACTTTTCTTTCCATGTTTTTGGTTCTATTGCGTAACGCTGTTTGAGTCAGGGGTTCCACAAGTCCAAATCAACAAATCACCTTTTTTTCAACTGGGTGGGGTGAAGTCAAAGATGAAGGTATGAACGCATGACAAAAGTACATAACTTCTTTGCGAAATGCAGGGGTAACCCTCGATCAGGGTGTGCTTCAAGCCCATTTATTATATTGCATCAGCAAATGCGAGTAGTTAATGACCCTTGCACCTGAGCTTCTTGAGGTGCTCGATAGACAGCTCTTTCATAGAGAAAACAAATAAGGAAAGAAGCCCTGAATGGTATTTACTTGTTACGGCTGAAAAATTTGACAAGTTATTCATTTGCTTCTGGCCATTGGATATTCAGAGTCAATATCACCCAAACAACTGCTGTAAGTAAGAAAGTGACGATGGGTGGGAAAAGAATCTAAGTCTGTTTAAAAAGGTGAAAAATGGTGAACACGAAAGAATGAGCTCCACACAACATAATGTCAAGTCCAAACTCTAAATTCAAAAATCAAAATTAACAAATTTATTCCCTTTGGCTGATACTGAGATTGAAACACAATTACCGGCACCTCAGGTTTTTTATCAAAATACTACACTTCAAAAAAAGGGAAATACCATTTTTTCCCACTTCCCTCCCCTTCCCGTTCCCTCACATTCCTCCTTCCCTCCTCTTCTGACATCATGGGGTTTTGATGTTGCTCACTTCTTGAACAGGGCTGCAGCTAAAAATAATACCTCCAGTGGACTTGATTGACAACATAGAGGTTTACAAATCAGCTGATGAACTTCTGGTGCAGAGCCATCAAAATGGCAGCGAAGCCTAGGAGCCAGACTGACAGATTAGCGGCTTCAGCCCCAGATCCACCAGATTCACCTCTGTTGCAAAAGTCTCCCTCACAGCAATCCATTGAACAAGACGTCATGTTAATTGTACTACGATTACAGACTATAAAAGAAGAAAATGTGATGAAAAATTAAATATAAGAGCTAGAGAAAAGCTCCTTTCTAACAGGACACCCTATGCTCGATACTTTTCTCCTCAAATTTTCGGAATGAGTGACCCTTTCCAATAAGGGACACCAAGACTCGATAGTTAAAGTTTGTTCTCAATTTTCAGAAACACTGCATTAACTCTTTACACCCTGAAATCACCAGGCGTATACTCATATGCTTTCCCCATGTTAGGAGAATCTGCATGACAATCTAGAGCTTCTTTAATTGGCGATCATTTTCTGTGCTCTCTTAACCTAAATGTTTGACTTAGCAGTAATACTGTTAGGAGAACTTAGATGCCAGTCAATCTTGGGGGACTAAGACTAACTGTCAGCTTCTTAAAATACCTTGAGATTCAAGCCAACCAGTCTTTATGGGCATCGTAAAGTATCAGATTCAAAACACGTTGAAGTCATCTTTGCTCTTGTTGTTTTTCATGTCTTGTTTTTTTGTTTATGTGTTTTGATTGCGAGCATTTCCCAGGCTTCTAATTATCATCAGAAGGATCATTTTAGAGCGAATTTCGATTGATTTTCGTAGACCAAAACCAAATTAATCATGACAGCTAATCAAAATGAGAGCAAGCTGACAGCAAGCTGTCTAAAGCAAGGGAAAACGTCAGTCACGTTTGTTTTTGCTTTTGAATCTGATTGGATGAGAGGATGGCGTAATTTTTTTTTTGGACCAAGCATAGAGCGAGATGAAGCAAATCCAAAACATTCCCGGAAACGAAACTTTTACTCAAATATTTTACTTACTGTTTGCTGGCCCGTCCGGTGCACACATTAAGGCGCTGATGGAGCAGTTTTTCAATTTCATATCAAACGGACCAATGTCAGGGAACATTGCTTTAATGTCGATGGTCATGCATCTATCATAACCTACAGGACACTCCAAGACTTCTGGTTCAATGCAGGATTTACCTGTATATCCAGTTTCGGGTGGTAAGTTGCTGCATACGTCGCACTTTATTGCGAATGCTGTCAAGTAGCGTAAGAAGGTCAGATTCTAAGTCTCTCTTATTTCACAAAAATCATCAAATCAATTGAAACTTTTTATCTCTGTTTAATCTAATGTTTATTGAGTAATCGAAACAATTAAAACTCAAAACGCATATTTACAACAGAATTGGAAAGCACCTAAGCGATTATACTAAAACAACTACTCGCCTCAGACTCAGTGAATATTTGCGAATAATATTCACTTCACCTTCGGCGAATAATTGTTTAATGAAAGGAATTTTGTTCCTTTACTAACAACAATGCAATGTTTGTCTTAACAATAAGATTTTCCAGTTTTGTGTTTTACTCTTGCATAAAAGCACCCTCGATTCCGGATCTACGAGAGAAAATAGAAGCTTTAATTTGGATTCGTGCACATTGCTTCCAGAACTTCAAAGACGTTAGTTTATTTTTCATCTCGCTGGATTTTTTTACTGGTAAACAGTTTACGGGCAACATGCAATAGTTTTTGTTTGCAAATCGATTGAGGACATGTGATCTGTTAAGAGATAAGGAGCCATCGCTCCATTGTAGATATTCATGTCTACTTAATTGCGAAGACAAGCTTCCTTTTCAAAAATTTGTCACTTCTCTTGCATAATTTTATCACCGAGTAAAATTCGAAGTAAAATGCAGGGTCAACAAGTCAGTTTGTGGTACTTGCCAAATCACATACGTTTTCTAATTGCACGAGGATTTGTCACGTACCATGGGTCAAAACTCATTAATTACTTGTACCAAAAATAACTTGAACCTTCGACTAGCACCTGATCAGGTCCTGCACCTCGAAACCGTGGCGCATTTGTTCGCCGGCCCGCCTTCATAAACAAATAATATTAATTTTGCAATTAAGACGTAATTTGTATATAGTTTGTCATGTTTTTGAGTAAAGAGGTATCGTTGACTTTTGTTATCCACAGGGCCTGTCATTAACAGCCTTAAAGGCCTTAAAAGCCCTCTTTTCAAATAAAACTCAAGACATCTTTGAGTTGGCTTGCAGGGGGCTTTTCGTCGTCAAAGATTTTTTTTTTGGGTCAGTTGAGAGCATTCGCAAACACACTGGTCTGTCGTTTTTAAAAGTGCTTGAAACCCTAAAAGCTCTCTTTTAAAATAAAATTCAGTACATCCTAGAGTTCGCTTGCAGGAGCATTTGATCGCCAGGCCATTTTGTTCCCTTTTTTAAGTTTTTAAGGTTTAACAAAACATTTATTGAGTGGCCCGACGGCAGAAAGTAAGCTTCGTTTCCCTTAGGGCCATTAAGTAAGTGCCTAATAACTCTAAAAGCTCTCTTATCTAATACAATTCAAAACATACTTGTGATGAGTTGCAGGAATTAAGTCCTTAAGCTCCCTTTTCAAACATAATTCAATGCACGAATAAGCCAATTTGTTAAGTGCTAAATAACTCTAAGTCTCTCTTTTCTAATACAATTCAACTTGCTTACTGGCAGGAACCTTTGATCACCGAGCCATTTTGTTCCATTTTACAGCTGGGAGGTATAACACAACACTACTAATTGACTGGTGCAACGTAAAACAGTAGGTTTTGTTTCATCAAGTGCTTAAGCTGTCTTGCAGGAGTCTTTGATAACCAAGCTATTTTGTGTTTAAACACCAATAACTAGCCCATAGACGTACTGCACACCTTTCTGTTCAACTGATATCGTATACAAGAATACGTGAGAGAAATCTGGCACTCTGATGTTGTTGAACATTGGAGAGTCGAATTGAACACGATTAATACTGGTAAAACAATAGAATAATCTCTTACAAACCCCTTTCTCTCTCAAAAGGACTCCAGTTTGAGATCTGCGTTCGCTTAAAAGAGGTATTTGCGGAATACAGCTCATTTCACATTAAACATGGCAAATGATATCAAGCATTGAGTTGGCATCTGCTTTTTTGGGGTGCACAGAACACCTTCATATACGTTTTGAATTACGAAACTTGTTATGTTATACTTAACTTGAACAGTTGATAACATGCTTCGCGGACTCGGTAGCTCAAAAGACGATTGAATGAATAAATAAATAAATGCAAGAAACACATCAACGAACAACAAAATTATAACACTTTCATCGCGTGAACTTTGATAACTTTCAATCTGCTTCTATGTGATCTTTCTATTCGTCTTTTACTGATTTTAAATTCCGGGTGGGTTTGCAGTTTCAACTTGATCGGACCTTAATTTGAAACGCGGAAGAGAACTTTTTCCAAGAAAGTTTTAAAGGGCAAGTCACTCACGGAATTCCAAGTAAGGAGGCGGCGAATTTTATGCTCGGGTCCCAACGTGGTTAAGTAAATTGAAAACAAATTGACGTCTCCATTTTATATCAACTTCGTACATTCTGAAGGCACATCTCGTTTTTTCGCTTTTACTTTCATCTATCAAATCCGTTTGAATCTGTGCGCTCCCAAAAAGCCGTGATCTTAGCTGATCTTGGTGTAATAGTTCCGCAGTGACTCAACATCTATGCATTTGAGCCGGATATAAGGAGCTAGAAGATGTCAACGGAAATTCTTTTTTAAAATAGGAAAATTCAGGAAGATAAACTCACCAGATGATGCACTGCACAAAGTCACTAGAGCAACAAAAGCGGCAGAAAAAGTTTCCATGGTTCCAACTTTGCTATCAGGGTGTGAGAATTGATCATCAAATGACAAACGCACTGCAAGACGAAACTCACGATTCGCTGTAAATTGCAATGACAACTGACAGCAGTTGGGCTTGGTTGCTAGGTATTGTTGCACTCAGCCAATCGAACGGGTAGTGGCATTCAGGCGGAAAACATCGTCTTACAGGCCGCGAGCAAACCAAAAATTCGACTGATCCACCCGCTCACAGAAGTAATCAATGGGCAATTATTGCCAGCTTGCGGTGTTAACTTATTATCAAGCCGAAAAGTAGCGGAAATGGAAAAAAATTGCAACTAAGATTTAATACCAAATTCCCCGAACAAACATTATGAGGAAAGTATGGTAAACACTATGGAGAGTTGATGAGGGCATCACCGGCTGCAACGAAAGAGTTAATTAATGCGGTCACAATTAGATTGTTTGCAATTATCAGCTATCAGATTATAATGTTGTACGAGTCTTTTAAGCTCTCTGGAGTATTGTTAATTGAAATACACGTGAACTGTTAGTTAACTGTTAGTTAGCTGTTAGTTATCTGTAAGTTAATTCTAAGTTAACTAATGAATGGCGCCGTTCTTTTGAAAACAAATTATGAAGTACCGATTGACTCATCTAATGATTTTGACCCTATTTTTTATTATCTGTCGTTAACTCTACTGAAAGCCTATGTAGTCCACAACACAGCCTCAAAACTGTTTTAACCCAGATTGTTAAGTGCAACCATAGTTAGTAGCTACTAACTATGGTGCAACAGGATGGTGTAGCATTATTTGCCCATGCGCTTTTGAGTCCAACAAGGAAGGTTATAAAGCGATGCTTTTCAACGTCTTTGCTAATGATCTTTGTCTTCTACATTACAGCTGTATGCAGATGACACGACCCACTAAATAGCTCATTAGCGCCCACTGTACTTGAGTTCGCCCTTGACCAAATAGCTCATCAAATAATTCATTAACTACTGAAAAGTCTTTTTAATAGACAAATTTAACAATAAAATTAGAGCTGAAATTATTATGTCACCTGAGAAGCAATGCTGACAAGTTGGTTTTGTTGTACGCAAGTGGAATTGACATCGGTGTATTATTTCTATAGGAGCATGAAATAGCTCCTAAAATTAGAGCTGAAATTATTATGTCACCTGAGAAGCAACGCTGACATGTTGGTTTTGTTGTACGCAAGTGGAATTGACATCGGTGTATTATTTCTATAGGAGCATGAAATAGCTCCTTGGGAGGGGTGGAGAGGTTAACAGCCCCTTCCCTCTCCTCCTTGAGCATTTATTTATTTTATTATTTTTTTTTATCATTAATTAAACTAGTACTTCAACCTTATGACTCCTTTATTTTCTGTACCTGGTTATTTCCTATTTTCAAACAACTGCAAAGTTAAAGCAATAGCAGAACCTTAAGACGCGTTTTGCACAGGAAAGCAACTATAGTATATATAAGCTCACTATTTTTCATAGGTCTCTTTAAGTGACCACAATGGTTTCGATATCCACAAGCCGGCGAGAAGACGAAAGCGACAGAAAATTGGTCTGCGATAGTTCAGCCTAGAATCGTCAAAGAATAAGTTCATTAATCTGCAGCGTATCAAGAAAAGCTGATCAAATTCAAAGACAATGCCCTTTGTTTAGTGTCTCAAATATGGCCATAAAAGGATATCTTGAAACAATACTTTTGGAGCCAAACAATGGCTTATTAATTGACGAGGGAAATTCAAACTCGCTGCCATCACAATAGCGAAATTCAAACATAGCCGATTACTGCACGAGCGCGAAATTTGGATATCCGGCGAAAGCGCGTTTATGTCAAATCTTATCCTGGGGAGGAAGAGTTACTTTTTGTTTAAGGTCACTTGCTACTCAGGGAGGGTCGGTCAAGACACAGAATGTCGCAACTGATCATGAGAGACTGACAAAGAGTGATGAAACCAAATGAAATTTGAATCAGTGTGAATGGTCACGAGTGAAACTTGTTTGAATTAAACTCATTCCGTGAAATTGACAGGCAGCCCGGTTCCAGATCTCACAATGTTAAGCCGCGGCTACACGAGCGATTTTTTACTTATGATGGTGATGCGAGCGCGCGGTGCAAATTACCCGTGTAGCCACCCTCGCGCAAGTGCTGCGATGGCGACTGCTAATACACCGCTGAAAAAAATCGCGAGAAATTCAATGAGTTGAACTTTTCGTGACAAGATCACTGACTTTGTCACCCGTTTAGCCACCACCGCGCGCCAGCGACGCGACAATTTTAAGAAAAAGTCGCATCACCATCGCAAGCAAAAAATCGCTCGTGTAGCCGCGGCTTTAGAACAGGGTCTTGGTTTGCGTTTGTTGCGCACTGATATTGACGAAGTTTTTCATCCTCTGAGAAAAAGAACAAACAAAAAACAAAAACCGAGATGAATTTGAATTCTTTGAGAGATGAATGACTGAACGCCACTAAACGTTTTATGTACCGTGAACATAGCATCTGATTATCCAGACGGTAAGATTTGTAAGACAAGATAAGAAGTCTATTGTCTTTTCACTCTCCTGATCTCAAACGACATTTTCCACCGACGATCTTTAATACGTTACGGCTTATTCTCGAATGCAGGTCGGAACATATGAATGCACGTTACTCGCATTTATTCCCATCGATGTCGACACATTGGTTTCGACAATAGAGAATTTTGAAAGGAAACTCAAAAAGAAACCATCTAATGACAACGCAAATGCTTACAAAGTATTTAAACCGCGGGCGAATTAGTTATTTAATGGCATGAGCACTTAGCGCAAAAAAGCAGCAATCCTCTTGATATCAATCAATTCTCATAATACACGCGGCCGCTTCATGAGAAACGATTAAAACAATAGTTGGTTATTTTCTCACCTCCCTGATGAAAATGATCCATTGATAAGTTCCAAGCGATCTCAGTTCGCGCTCGCCTCTCCAATTGCTTTGATACGTTTTCAAGATTATGATGTTTGGTTCTAAAAATAAACTCGCTCTTCAAGTATTTTTCAGACTTCAGGGCGATCTTATGTGTGGGTGGGTTTTTGTTTCTTATTTTTTTTCTGTTTCATTTGATGAAGACAACAAAAGAGCATTCTATTAAAAGCAATGGCTTTGTTTAAGCTATCCATGAATGAACACTAGACACAAAATGATGCTAAGTAGAAAAAACTTCCGGGTGTAATGAGGACTGATACTCGCTAAGTAACGACGAAATTTAAGGTTAAGTCCGTCAGCGATGGGAGTTTTCTAACTCATTTTCAACACAACCGGGCACAGAGTTGCGCACTGGCACAGACACAGCCATCTCTTACAGAGGTTTATGGGAAGAGAACCACGATTTGAGAATTCAGCACAACTCCTTTGCAACTCAACTGAATGAAGTCGTAGCTCAGCTTCCACAAGCAAATGCTGAAGGAATGCTGCTAAAGCAAAGAATTACAGAGACTGGAAATGTTTTCTACAACACCAAAATGGACTTCTGGCAATTAACACTGGCAGCCAGAAATAATAAGAAAAGACGAGTCAGGAAACGAGTGGCTCAATCGGTGGAAGGACTGGAGGAGTTTGAGGCCATCGAGGTACGTAACAATTTTACTTTTTCGTAAAAAATAGAACTGAGACATTGACCAACAGCAAAGTCGCGAAAAAAAATCATACATCTATGTGGCGATCAATCTATCTATCTAGCTATGTTCATATGAAAACAAATGTTAAAGGGAAACCCCCGTCTTCTTCTTCAGATTAAGTTCACTCTACAAGGACGTGAAGTTGTAATTCCACTTGGACACGATTCTGGTGACGAGAAAGAAAACTCCATTTGTCGGACGACGCAGCATGTAATTAATGCGAAAGATAAAGGTTTGATTTCAGACGAGGCATACCATGAGTTGAGGATGGCCTTACCAGACGAGGAAAGAGATATTCTTCCCTGTGACATAGGTCAGGCCCACTGACTATTTATTCGCACTCGGTAGACATATCAAATGCACGATTGATTTATAATACAGTTGTGAGCTTTACAAACACACCCTTTACAGAAATGTCAATGTCTTTGGTGGAAAAGCCTGCTGCATTCTCTGCCTTACAAGTGTACCGCCCTTCGTCCTCCTTTGTTATCTCAGAAAAGAAGAGAGACAAACTCTGTCCTTACAATGTATTATTCTTGAGCCATGTGATCTGTGGTTCAGGCTGACCCACCACAACTTTATGCATTAAGTTCATACTGTTTCCTTCCATGATGACATTGCTTTCTCCAGAAATATCCACTTTTGGTTGAACTAAGAGGTAAATAAATAACATGTCCTTGGAAAATCGGAGGTATTCCAATATCATTTAAACTGAACACATTAGACGCCGTGATTAAATGATCATTTGATAATGACACTAGCGCTTAATACGAAGTATAATCATTTGTCAGATCGCAGACCCTTCAAACCTCATACTCCTTGGACCAGTTTCTGAAAGACAGATGGCTCAGCCATGGGGAGTATGGTCTCTGCTGTTATTGCTAATCTCCGCATAGAGAGATATAGGAGCAATCAATAACCTTTTCATTCTACCAGCGAAGGATCTGGGAACGCTCTGTATATAACACATTCACAATCTTGCTTGCTACAGCATTTGAAGAACTGAAGCATTCCATTCACTTCACTGATGTTACAAATAGTAACAGGACACTCCCCATCCATGGCACAGCATCTTTAAAACAAGAGCCCCTGGTTGAAAAGATTCCCTGAGAGTGAGGCAAAGTTTACATCAGTGGAACAGGAAAACCTATGCAAGTAAGGTTAAACGAGTTATATAGCATATAGAGAAACGAAATGCTAAGACAAAGGCCTCTGCAGTTTCAGAAGACACCTGGAAACCACCTGCTCTGGACTGAAGTAGAGTACATTGATTGTGATACTATTATTATACACCCAGGATAAAAGAGGCTATCCACACAAGACCTTGCCTGTTACAACATAAATTGGACATTGAGGTAGACATTCCAGAAACATGGATGCTGACCACAAGAAACATAAAAACATAATAACTTTGCAACAGTGGACTCCAAAGGAACATTTGGTCAGAGTGTGCCAATCAAAGCCTGTGTGGGATTCCAGCTAATCACAGCCAAACAGAGAGTTTCATAAGGTCATGCTTATCTACTGACCTTATAACACAAAGAAGACACAATATGCAGTCAAAAAGTCACGATCCACATCCAAAGTAAATTAATGGCGAGACAAACGATTATACTGCATTCAGAAAGTGAATTCATCACCATGTCCAACCAAAGTCATTTTAAGCACATTACCAGTTTGAAAAGAAACTATAAGCTTCATCATAGTGCACTTACTTTGAGTTATGACAAGGAAACTACATTGTTGACAAATAACTTAATAAGAATAATTTTTTTAACATGACATCCTACTTCAAACAACTACAATCCACAAACATATTCAGGATAAAATGTTGCCTTATTTATCACAAATGTGTAAATTGTAACTTACCAATAGCAAATCCATAGCCAGAATGAACATCTGGTAGTCCAACTGATCTCTAAGGGCCAAGCGAAAAAATACAAATCAACATTTCAGAATAGAAAAGGAGATACATAGCCTCTTTTGTTATTGTTGTTTGGTAATATTGTTTTGGTGTGTTATCAAAATTAAGGACTTTTCAACAAAAGAGAATGATTAAAACTTGCTCTGGCTGGGGGTATATTGTCATTCATAAAGTCTGATTGATGAGATGACAAGTTGTTTCAGAGATGACAAATTCATCTAGAGATGAATGATATTGTTTCTGAAAGTACTTTTTCAAGACTTCATTAGTGTGGAAAAAATATGTGCATTTTCCCTGAGAAGGATATTAGGATATAAGTATTCTATGTATACAATTTCAGAATTTCCTAAATGTATTAAGAAGGAAACAAAATTTTATCACGGAGAAAGTTCAGCAAACACACATTCTAAAATAATGGGATAACTGGATCTAACTGGATCTAACTGGATAACTGGATGCTCTATTTGGCATCACTTTAAGTGAAATCTTTGGTAAAAATACTCTGGAAACACAAACTGTATAACAAGAAACTCTTCTGTCATCTCCACTTTATATTTTCTCTGCTTCCCAAAAGAACAGGGTCAGTTTGTTAAAAGCTGGATTTAGATAACTAATGGTCAGCATGAAATCTGATTTCATATCTGAAAGCTTTCAAATGAAATTCAGTCTACATGTACAATTCCTTTAGTCTGCAATTTGATGATTGGATGCCCTAAAAAAAACTATAGTAAATTATTTTAAAAAGGCTTCTAAGCCAAGGATTAAACATACCCTAATTAAAAATTTAACCCTGGGTTAGCACTTATCAGCCTTCGAACAACTGGGCCCAGGATTGAACAAGTTTCAATTAAACTGAGTTGTAATTTCAACAAGAAAAAGTTATGATCATTTTTACACCAACAATTCCAGGCAAAGCTGCAACATTTGCAATCTGCTTTACACCAGGAAGGAAACCACCAATACATGGAGAGCAATTTAATTTAATTGTATAAAAGGAATAAGACAAATTCAGCAAATACAACAGTATTATATTTCAAATGTTTAGAGTACTGTACCTTGAGTTCCAGCCCAGTGCTTCAGCTCATCAAACATTAGTTTTTCGAGCAGCTTGTTTATATATCTAACATACCTTCAACCTTTAAAGAAAAAAAGAAAAGAAAAGTTTGAACTTTAGAGTTGAATAGTTGCAATGTACACCTCAAGTCTTGTATCTGAAACAGTATGTAAAAATTTGTCCATGGTACTAATTAATCAGAACATCCTAATCCAGTACTTATGAGGACATTCTTGCATCAACAATTTCCAGCAAAACACCACAGTCTGCAACTAGGGGAAAAGGAGAGAGATTAGGGGGGATGGGGACAATAATGGATATAATCTGGGTTTGATGGAGGAAGTGAGGACAAAATTTATTTGTCCAGTTCAGTCAACCCTGTATTAAGCTGTCACCCACGGGAATATGGCGTCTAATACAGTGCGAGTGCTCAATACGGTGCCACCTAAGACAGGTTTGACTGTAGTTCGTGAATTGACTGATTGAAACAGAAAAAAAAGAAAACAGTTCTGACATGAGAGACGTGGAGGGGGGCAGGGGGCGGGGATTTGATCATAACGTGGGCAGAAAAGGTGGAGGGGGGGGGGGGGGAACAAACTTTAGTTGTCCCAGAAACAATTTTCCTTGTGACAAAACTTATTTCAAAGAAGGAAATTACTTTGACGGATATGGCAGGTGTAAGGGGGTTTTTTAGATTACCATAGCCTATTATCAACGTTCTCACGTATTACATCGTTAGACGTGTATTTTGACGCGCACGCTACTCAGCTAGAGTTGAGCTTCCGATCTGATGTTTGGCGCGCGTACACTCACCTTCATGTTTGGGACAAAGCCTTTCTTGATGAGAAACGAGTTTTCGTTTAAGCGCTCAATATAAATGCACTCCTCTTTCAATGTACGGTGTTCTTTCGCCATGTTAGTCTTTTCATTCACGTTTCACAAAGGTTTCAGCTAACTCGGCGAAGGGAGAAAAGCCATTTAGCAATAAATCAGCGAATGACTCCCGTTTGAATATGCGCGCAATACAATTTCTTATCCAGTCCTTCTCTGGCGGGTAATCCATAATGGCGGACGACATGAGAGAGATTTTTTTTATTAATTCTCTATGGATAAACCAAAACGGTTGTTTGTTATTTAAAAGAACGTTTACATTCAGTTTCTCAATTGAATCTCTTTGCTCATTGCTCCATAATAGCAGAGAAGAATTCGAAAGGGGACAAGCGAAAATGGGAACTAATAGAATTGGACGATCCTTCGTTCTTTGCGGGCGAAACGGATGGATTTGTGTCCCTTGAAGTCATAGAAGATTATCATCCAGAAGAGCTAGCAGGAATTGGTGCAGGTGGACCAGCTCAGAAGAAGAAAATAAAAGAACGGCCGCTGCTGAAGGTGAATTGCTCAAAGTGCTTTAAAACATACCGCATGGTTAAATTTAGAAGATACAAATGTTTGATTCACTTCAAGCACGTGGGGAAATTACCCTTGTATTTTACGAAAAATTGAGAAAAATTATCTTTTTAAATTTTTTGTTTATTTATTTTTTATCTTAACTAATTTTCAATTTTTAAATGTTGAGGGTTGTCCAATACATCCAAATTGGGTTGAGTCGTTCACAAATCGACCCACCAGAAGTTAATTAGTTGTTAAGTCATCTTGTGATACTGGAAATCTGAATAAACCGTGCCTCTTAAGGTAGAAATGTCTTACTACAAGTCGATTTTCAAGACACTCAATAATAATCCTCAACCTGACTCAAATGGAATGACTTGTCTCCTGAGTCAGATTGGGTGTATTGGACATGAGAATCAAAACTAAGATAACTGCCAGTCATACCTTAAATGAGAAAAGAAACAAACAAGCAAAAAGAAAACAACAACAACAACAACAACACACACCACAAGAACTACATGGAAATACAGCAATTGATCGAAATCATTTTGAGAGCAGTTTGTCCTAAATTTTTTGAAGACAGCAGACTGCATTGTCCCAAGGGCTCATGCATTTTTTCAGTCTTTACCCATACATGCACAATTATGTATATCTAAGAATAGAAGCTTCTTTTTGGTTTTCTCTAGAAGTTTGGCTCACAGGGAAAAAAAAGGCAACATAGTATTGTCTTTTGATTTAAATCTTCAGGATAAGCTGGAACACACAGTTACCACATCATCCACACAACTTGAAAAAGCACAAAGAATAACCAACAGACAAAGGGAAAAAAGAAGAGGAAAAAGAAAAACAAGGCCCAAAGTAAAGCCCAGTCAGAAGAGCAAAACAGAGTAGAAATGGCCACTGACAATAGACTGGTGGAAGATCCTCCAGGTAAGATTTAATTTTAGGAATTATGGATGGGAAATGCACAAAACAAAGTACAATTTTACTCCAATGATTGTCCTTGAATTTTATTATTAAGAAGAGAATCAAACACATTTTGTGTAGATAATATTATGTTGGCAAAGATATGATTTTCTATAAATAATGGTAATTGAACTAAGTGGAGTGCAATTTGTGCTGAAATCATATGCGTGATTTCAAAATCAAACAAGTGCACAGTGTGAGTTCGATTTGAAATCACAAGTATGATTTCAGACCAAAATTGCATGACACGAGGTTCAATTACCACTTTATTACATCCATTTTGAAATCACCCAAATGCAGGACTTGGTAAGTTCAAATATTTTATTGATGCAGTACTGAGCCGGTCTGAAATTAAATTCATCCATTTTTGGGGGGGAAAAGTAAGAGTTTTGGAAACAAAAGTTGCAAAATTTGCCATGTGATTCTCTTTGTGTTTCATTTTCCCGCAATTTGATCGGTTACTTTAAACAAGCCTTGAAATCTGATTGGTTCTTTTGTTTTTAGTGTAGCCACCTCATTTGCTGGAATAAAGATGCGATTTAAGGCAAAAAATGATGCGATTTGTGAATAAATCACATCAATTAGAGCCAATCAGATTACAGGGACCACCAATGATTTCAAAATGGGTGTAATAAATAATGTAATTTTACTGATAAGTTTGTTATTACTGTATTGTTATTTATTAATAAAGTATTTATTAATTTAGATTATAAAACCTTTATAAACATATTTCATATCTATACAGGTACAAATAACCCTTTCCGTTCAACTGTAATAAAATGATATTTCCCACTAACACTATGAGTTTAAGATGCAATCATATTTTATAGCTAAACCATTTATTTGACTGAACTAAACTTTAGAGCCCATGGTAGATATGAGTGCTTGGGAAGTCCTTGGTGTTCCCAAAGAAGTTCAGAGAGGACTCAGTGAACAAAGTTTTACTACACCAACCCCTATACAGACTCTCTCCCTTCCACCTGCAATATTCCACCACAGGGACATCATTGGTGCAGCAGAAACAGTGAGTTGAATCACAGCAGTTAGATTGGTGGAGGTCTCCTTTTTTTATGTGTATTGTTTGTGTACTTGGTTTCACAACTATTTTGAGGAATCCTTTTTTTTTTTTTTTTGGAGAGGGAGAGAGAGAGAGGAAAAAAATAATTTTCAACATGTACATGTGTCTACTATGATGTACACCTTAAGCTCATTTAGCTCATTTATGTGTAAGAAGACTTTCCCACACATTATAGCAAACAGTTTCTGTTACTTTAGAGCTGGTCTTTGACCTGAATTAATGTCTAAGTATTAAGTGATTGTTGAATAATTATAAATATGACTTTTGTAAAAGCACTCTTGAGGAGAGCTGTTGAGCTGAAAGTATGTGTATGATGTACCTCTTGAGAGAGAGAGAGGACTGACTGACTGACTGACTGACTGACTGATGGTTAAATTTTGCTCTCTTAAGAACTAATGTAATAGCTCTTCCTTCTTTATGTAGGCATTCTATATCTTCCTATAGTTGGTTGATGGAACATTATTTATACAAAAATGTGCATTACAATAAGATTGTCAAGATAAGTCCCTTCAGGTTGTAAGTTTCGTAGTTCTCATATCATTCATTGGATAATGCCTTGAAATTGTCTGTTGAAGTTATGATGAAATCACTTGGGAGAAGTTTAGCTTCCAGGAATGGCTGGTTTTTGAGGAGGTTATTATTTAAGGATATTAATTTAAAAATTTTATGTATTTATTAGGGTTCAGGTACAACACAAGCCTTTGGGATTCTAATTCTCACCCACATCCTTGGCCACAAGTCCAGTCAAGAAGCAGGTGAAGCTACAAAAAATACTACCAAAAATAATGCTACAAAAGCCACAGAAACTGGTAATGGAACATCCAAGCTCAAGAAACCACTCCTGGCATTGATAATGACACCAACCAGAGAATTGGTTATGCAAATAAAAAATCATCTCAAACAGGCTACAAAACACACATCTTTAGAGGTAACATCATGTACTTAAATTGACAATTTGGAAGTCATCTCCACAGTTAGATTCTGTTTTCCCATTGTTAGAAACTCAATTATTACTTTATTTTTATTGGCCCAAGTCAATTTTGTCTCCTGAGCCTTCAATTTTCCTCTTTTCAGTGGAGCAGAATGCAAACCTATCTCTTGTTTGGAAAGCATTTTTTTATTTTTTTGGGGAAACATGAATTTGTAGCCACAATAGGCTTAAGCAATTTAAATAATGATGAGTTAGTGCTGAAAACATTGTTATTCCCTCAAACATTAACTCTATTGTTTTTTGGTACCATATTCTGGACTGAAATATTTATTTTATCTTCACCCCTTCACCAGCAAAGTATATAAAAACCCTTTTGTTCAGAGAATTACAATCCTAGCCCCTATGATGTACCATTTACCCCCTACCCTCCCCTCCCTTGCCACCCCTTCTAGTCCTGTTTCAACTTTATCTTTTATTGGAGAAATACCCACCAAACAAAGTACCTCAAAATTATTTGAATCAGTAAACAATTCCTTTTTTTCAAGATTGTTGCTGTGGTTGGAGGAATGGCACCTCAAGAACAACAGAGGCTTTTAAACAAGTATCCTGAGGTAATAGTAGCCACCCCGGGAATACTGTGGGATTTGATTTCCGAGGTAAGTACCTCATGTATCATAAGTTGTACTGATTCACTTTCTTTTAGAGATCTGAAACAGTCGACACACACTTGTACATGTAGGTATGTTTCTCATGAGATCGGTTGTCCTGTGTAGTTTTCAGCATGAATTTGGATTTCCAATGTCGTGTAAGTTTTTCCTGTAAGCATTTTCTACTGCTCTGTAAACATCAATGCCAGGCGTTTTTTTTCTTTTTCATATACCCAACGGTGAAATTGGAGTGTAGCCTCTTTCTATTAAATAGATGATTCTAGAGATATCTGCTGGCGGCGTTTAATTTCAGGGTGAAGAGCATGTCTGCCGTTTGGAGCACTTGAGATATCTTGTGATTGACGAGGCAAACAGAATGGTGGAGCAAGGCCACTTTCAAGAATTATCTTCAATATTGGAGCTCATTCATAGAAAGAGGCAATGGACTTCAATTTCCATCGGAGCTTGAATTTCTCTCAGGCTTCTCTTTCTGAAATTAATGGTTTTCATGACTGTCAACTTGTAAACTGAAATTTTAACTTTAATGTTTCCTTTTCGCAGTGATTATGATGAAGATGAGGGAACTGCAAAGCGAAGACATCTACAGAAGTTTATTTTCTCTGCAACTTTAACTCTTCCAAAGTCGTTTAAGAGGAAAGGAAAAGAAAAGAAGATCACAAGTGAAGAAGGCTTAGGTAAATCACGGCATATTTGACTCAGAGTAATAGAAGCTAAAGATAGTATCAACGTAATTTATCAGCTATTACTGAAGGAATGAAATGATTTAAATAATCCATCATTTAAAACCCGAAAATTTGCTGCTTTATGAAGTGTGTCGAAGCTTGTATTGTGTTGTTTTGCTTTTGTCTTTGTTATCTAACATCTTAGTTAAACATGATTAAGTTGACCGGCTTGTGTTCTTCCGTTAACAGCAATACTCTTTGCATTTTACATTTTTAGTGTCACTGATGGACAAAGTTGGGCTGCAGAAGAACAGTTGTAAAATTATCGATGTCACCAACAAGAGAGGAACCGTAGAAACCCTGACAGAAGCAAAGATCTCATGTGTAATTGAAGAGAAGGTTTGTAATTATTGAGGTGACAAGGAAGAGAAAAACTTCGAGATTCAGGATACAATTTTTACTACTTTTTATTGTTGGTTTGAGCCAAATGCATCTACATGTACACCACACTGTCTAGGAACATGATCCACGGAGCCACAGAGGTGTACCAAGTGAAATCGAAGGAGAACTACGAAACATACAGTTGTTGTAAAAATCACCTCATTCAGATTTATTTGAATTTTCTTTCTAGGACCTATATCTCCACTATTTCCTTTCCCGGTACCCAGGCCGTACTTTGGTTTTCTCCAAAACTGTAGACTGCGTGAGGAGACTGGGCTCTTTGTGTAGGCTCCTGGACTTTAACCCGTGGGTTCTGCACGCCAGCATGCAACAAAGGCAAAGATTAAAGAATTTAGACAGGCCGGGTGAAAACTGAGTGGGATGGAAAAAACAAAAATACAAAAAACAATGAAACAAACGAAACAAACAAAAACCAGAACAAAAAAAAAACCAAACAAAAAACTCAACAAAACAAAGCAACTATTAGGAACCCAATTTTGTAGACAACGTGCTATTTTCCTGTTGCGTCTTTCACGTTCTTTACTGCGCAACTTGCTTTGCGCAAAACACTGGGCGACACGCGTGTTATGTGGCCTTGGATCAGAATCATCCTGATCTTCTTACTATTTTTTTTTCATGAAAACAGTGAGTATAGTTTACGAACTAACCCACCAATGGAATTTCCTCTATGTATAGACTATAACTGGATCGCCTTGACTGATTAAAACCCGCCCCTCTCCTCCCTCAGAGAATATTTAAAGCTAGATAGGACTCACACCAGCCAATGAAATTTTGGCTGATTCTTTTCTTGCCTGTTAAATTTAAGCAAAGTGCGAGTGGCTTACTTCTGGCTACAGATGTGGCCGCGAGAGGTTTGGACATACCAGCTGTTGAGCATGTGATTCACTATCAAGTTCCGAAGGACCTTGATGTAAGTACGTGTAAGTATGTGTGTACGGTTGGTTAGCTTGTGCAGTTAGTTAGCCTGTGCGGCAGGCGGGAACGGGAGCGATTGCTTTTTGGCGGCAGTGCTTTCATTCTCCGCGAAACTCTACCTTGACAAAAGGCTTCGGAAGTCACACTGCTTCAACCAACCATGCGTTGACCAAGGTGTGGGCTACAAGTCTCAACTGTAAGAGAAGCTCAACCAGAATGTGGATAGCAAAGTTCGAACGCCGTTGACGCCTGAATTCTTTATTTACCTCTAAATTTATTTAATTGCATATATTTAGTTATTTCTAAAACTTCATTTTCTAAATCTTTGTTTTGTTTCCGATTTGAGTTAATGTGTGAGGTTCACCCACCGAAATCAAAACATAATTCATTTCAGTTAATGAGTTTTGATTTAGGAAAAAATTGACTCTGTTCAAATGCAGTTTATATGAGAGGAGTAGTTTGTTATTGTTTATCGTCCTCAGTTGTATCTCATTTAATAATGAACTGTTGTGTAATGTAACCACAATGTAAGTATTAACTTTAGCGCAACCATCTTATGTGATTCTGCGTTCCTAAATTCTTTCTCTGTGTTCGTTGACAGCTTTACATTCACCGCAGTAGACGGACAGCTAGAGCAAGCAGGGAGGGTCTGAGTGTCGTTCTTGTTGGCCCAGAAGAAATGGGATCATACAAGAAAATTATGAAGGCGCTTAATGGAGGTGAAGTGTCTTTATTATGTCCAACGTATCTCTTTAACAGTCAAACTCTAAAAGGTTATTTGCAAATCCCCCTCAGCTTAAGGTGCCATTCGTCTAAATTTCCTTTTTAGTTAGATAAATCTTTACGCCTCAACGTAACACTGGTTGCCAATATTATTGGTGCCCTCCTTTACGTTTTTGTACAATATATTTTATTATCAAGAGAATGGGCTTTTTTGTGCTTGTATTAATCGAAACTCGACGGTCGTTTGCTCGAGCAAGTTTTCTGGTGGCCAATGCGACCTGAACTTTCAATTAACAAAAGTTACAATCAAGAATACTGCTCTCGACTTTCGATTGGAGTATTTAAATTATTTCATACAATAGGCCTTATTCGTATTCCCGGACTGGTCTGGGACGAGTGTTTTGTTTCGCGCGAAAGCGAGGCTCATGCGGGGGAAAATTAAAAATACCCTTTGACACAGCTGGAAAAATACGGAGAAAGTCACTTTGGTTCGCAGTATTTGACGGCAAAATCATGGTTAAACATAACTGCTGTGCATATGGCTGCTCCAACAGCACTGAAAAACAAAAAAACCATCTGAAATATCCAGAACTCAAAGGAATAACGTTTCACACTTTTCCTATCGGCGACCGAAAGAAGACTTACGCACCCGGAATGAATGAAAACGAGAGAAGAAAAAGGTGGATAGCTGCTTGTCGTTTAAGCAGTTTAAATGTCACAAGACATACAAGAATTTGTTCAGCACACTTCGAAGGTGGTTTAGGACCCTCAAAGCTTAATCCTGTCCCAACAATTTTCAGTTTCCCGACTCATTTGCAGCCCAAAACCCGACGGAAGCGAACAGATCCAGAGGAAAGGAGACGAGGAGCTTTGAGCTGCATACAAAACAAAACCAAGACTGCACCAAGGAGACAAGCAGGTAAAACTGACAAAAACAAGGAAAACCCGGAACCATTGGGCCTGTCATCACAACTGCAGGAAACTGCGTGCTCGAGCGACATGGATTTTATTTTTTCTGAAGAGTGTGAGATTAAAACTGAACAGACACCTGATCCAAGATCCCTTGCAGACAAGTGTATCCAAACCGACCTTACCTGTGAAGATATCGACTGCATGGAAGCAGCCAAAGCTAAACTGGAAAATAAACCAGAACTGAAGAGAGAAATGTTTATAGACGACGTCCTAAAAAGCAACAAGTCCGTGTGTTTCTACACTGGATTGCCCTCCTATGCCTGTCTTATGATGTTGTTTCCCTTTCTGAAACCATTTGCAAATGCAATGAAATATTGGGACAACAAGAAAAAGGGACAGAGGGAAACGTATCAGGTATCTTAATATTATTACACAGCAGTCTTGTTAATATTTCCTTTCATTTGTTTTGATGAACATTATGGCATAAAATGTTTACACAGCAGTCTTGTTAATATTTCCTTTCATTTGTTTTGATGAACATTATGGCATAAAATGTTTCATGTTTGGTATAAATAGCAATATAGACCCTATGCAAAAATGGGTACCTTTGAATTTTTTTGTTCGTATTCAAAATAGCCTCACTAACCTCGATCGGGATAACATATTCTTTACAAATTTTGTCTCAAAAACGACGTTAGCGAGGCTTTTTTAAATATGAACAAAATGATAATATATGCATAGGGTCTATAACATGATATATTATGTTATTATGATTTCCAACTATGTGATAATTGCCTAAACATTTTGCTTCAGCAACTCAACTGCACGTTTTTACTTTTATTACAGGAAGATGAACATGTTAACAAGCCGGGACCAAAGAGGCAGATGCCATTATTTTCTGAATTTTTAATGGTTCTTATAAGACTCAGGCTTGGACTGTTACAGAGTCACCTGGCAGACATTTTTGCAATTTCACAAAGTTCAGTTTCCAAGATTTTTACAACTTGGATTAATCTTTTGTATCATGTATTTAAGGAAGTTCTTATAATATGGCCTGCAAAGGTTCAAATTCAAAAGCACATGCCTAAGAGCTTTAGTAGGTATCCTCGGACCCGTGTAATTATTGACTGTACAGAGTTTTTTATAGAGAAGTCCACTCAACCTTCAGCTCAGAAAATTACTTGGAGTGATTACAAGTCACATAACACTTTCAAACTCTTGGTTGGTATTTCACCCACTGGAGCCTTCACATTTGTCTCTAAACTTTGGTCTGGTGGGGTCTCTGACCGAAATATAACTCAGAAATCTGGACTGATAGACAAGCTGGAACCTCTAGATGATGTGATGGCTGATAGAGGATTCAATATTAGAGATATGGTCACAAAGAAAAAGGCCACATTAAACATTCCCCCCTTTGCAAAGGGGAAGTCCCTTTCAACAAAGGCATGTACAAAAACCAGGAGAATAGCTGCAGTTCGCATACATGTGGAAAGAGCAATCCAGCGGCTCAAGTGTTTCCGAATTTTACGTGGTGTGATACCTATCACCCTTGCTGCAGTTGCTGATCAGACTGTGTTTGTATGTGTAGCACTGTGTAACTTAATGAAGCCTCTTGTTTCAAAGTAAATGTCTAAATAATTTTCTTATGTCTGTATAAATCATATGATTTTTGATCGAACTAAAAAAAAACAATGAGCATGTAACCCCTTACAGTAGCTACTATACTAGGTATAAATGGAATAGTTATGCATTTACATAGGCTCAATGTCACGAAAGGTTCATATTTGGAAGTTGAGTTTCTACATTATATGTATATTTATTTATCTGTACTATATAACACTGTACGGTTCTGACCATATTTAACCTTTGGAAAAGCTAGTTCTGGTAAAATGACCGAGTCAAAAAATGAATCCAGCTTAACTAGCACTGGAGACCAAAACTCTTGATCAAACAACACTTTCTCAACATAAATACCACCATCCCTGCCACAAGCAACAAATATGCCCCAGGGATACGTTGTTGCAAACATTTGTTGATGTAGTTGATAAAAGTATTTATGATTTCTATTAAGGGCTATACCATTGCTTCTTTTTATACAAATATGCTGTTTCAGTAAAATATCTTCAAGGGTTTCCCCTGACTTCACCTGAAGAAATTTCATCTCAACCACACCTGGGCTAGACTCAGACTGATCATATATTATTCTATCTGGAGAGGCACCAATATGTCCATGGGTCTTGCTAATGACAAATCCACACTTTTCGACTTTTATATCAGAATGTCCATTCTGTTTCATGTATTTTATTAGTGCCTGTTCAATTTCATCCTCCTTTGCCAAGCCCTCCTTCATGGCAGCTGTTAAAGGCACTTGGTTGTAACTCAAAACTTCCTTTAAAGCTTTAGTTGGAGATGTGGTTAATTTCAAGCTTGCAATACGTTTACAATGAGAAGCGGTGATTCTTCCTGTTCTGTACTGAAACCAGTCAATGGCATCACTCTGCAGTTTTGTCTTTTTTTCCACTGCATCAATTTCATCATCTGTAAACTGAAGTTTTCTTTTTATTGCCTTGCCCCTTTCTTTAATCTCATCCAGACTGGGTGGCAAAGGTTTCATTGGTGATAAAGAATCTAATGTAAATGTAGTAACAATTGAATTTTCCTCTCTTATGTCATTTACATTTTCTGAATCAAGTTGAGGATGTTGACCATTACATGTGTCTGGGTCAGGTAACAGATGCAGTAATACAGCTGAAGGAACAGTTTCAGCAACAAGCTTTCTAAAATTCTCAGCCAAATTTACATTCGTATCATATGAAGTTCTGGGGTCATAAGTATCACACCTTGGTTTTAGTCGCTTCTTTTTCTCTTTGTTCAGTGTGGGTTTTGTAAAATCCATGGCTGATCCTTTTGTCATGCCCTCATGAGTCCTCTTCCGTTGTTTCCAAGTGCACTTTCTCCCTGTGCAAGTTATTACAACATTTTCTCTCAGTGTAGCTTCAAGGTCAATAAGCGAGGCACCAATGTGCCGGCAAGCACCATCAGCCCTGATCAAGAAATTAGGAATTAAGAAAAGTTTCAACAGATATATTGTGATGACCAGAGTCAAAGTTTTGAATACTAGATAAAAGGAAATTATTCTGAAAGCCATAGAGATCACATACACTTGGGCATAGTATAAAGATGTCTTCAACAATTTGGAAACGAAGTACAAAATTTCGCAAAGCTGCAAATTATTATTTTCATTAACACTTCAACATTGTGTCAGTTGAACAGATCAATCTGGATTTATCATTTAACACATACATAAATCAAATTCATTTTTTAAGATGGCCAAATATTAGCCGAGGCAGCAGAATACACACCCTCCTATACAAGGGCAATGCGCTGTGTAAACTGATCCATCTGACTGAATTATTATCCATCCATCGTAAGTTGGTTTCTGTCCGACTTGCGTTTTCTCTCGTTCCGTTGGCTTTACTCCAAATTTAACGTAGTGGTATCCATTGAACAAGTTCTTGTTCTTCATCAATTTTAACACATGGCCATCCCAGAACAGGCGGTAGCCTTCGAACGACTTATATGCCTTGAGAGACTCGTGGTCATAACCCTCCTTATTGATTAAGTAAGCGTACATATCACCGTATGTGAAGTTCGGAAAATCAGAAAAGTCGGAAGTCCAGTCAGAGTGTAACGTGTTAGGACAGGGGAGCGAACCTTCTTTCGTCTGCAACTTGTTGACTATCACATCCTCCGGTTTCTCCCAATCGTCTATCGGTTCCAGTGAAAGATCGCGAGCCTTCTCCACCAATTCTACTAGTTCCTCCTTTCTCTTTTGCAAAACAGTTATTCCACGGCTCTGTAAATACGATTTCAACTCAGGAACTTTCCATTTTTGAACTTCACTCTCTGCCCCTCCTACGAAAGCCATATTGAAATCACAGATTCCCCCGCCTGAGCCTCGACATCGTGCACTCGCCCAAGGCCGTCCGGGAATACGAATAAGGCCTATTCAAACAATCATACCTAACAATAATGATTGTCTGATTTTTTTTTCTTATCAAGGGTGTGTGTGGATATTGAGACGAGCGACAGCGATGAGTGCCTTTTCAAACCAGTCTTTGCATCAGAAAAGTGAGTCACTCAAATATATATACCATAAAATTTCCGTAGTAACAGTGAAGTTATTGAACGCGTTTACGAACAATTAACTCTGAAGGGTATATTTTAATTGTCTGATTATTTCAAAGCGATGTCGGTGAGCGATCACCACACCTTGCACGAAACGTAAGAGAATTTTGCTCTCCCGCTGTGGCGTTTGAGAAACCTATGAAATTCTTTTACTGTCATCCATAGAGATGTGGCTGAAAAGGTAAATAAGAAAGTGCTGACACACCAGTTGAACGACTCCAGCGATAGCAGTGAAGACGAACAAGGAACTGATTACTTGAACGACGACCCAATGTTTCCCATCTACCGACAGGGATTGCTTACGGGTTTGGCTTCCAATAAAGTGGTAGATATCCTCTTCCATCCGCCTCGAGAACTTATTGCACGTGCTGTTCCTTCCGCTGTCTCCGAAAATTCTGTCTTTGTGGTGGAAATATCTGCCCCACACATAAAGCACTTTGAAAATGTTCTGGCGACGACCTTGGTGCATGGAATCCAACTGGAACGAAACAGCAATGTATTATAGTATGATATACTATATAGTATATAGTATGATACTACCGTGCTTCCAACAAGAGGAATCCTGTTCGTAAGGCTTCCCAATCAGAATATGATGATCATGAGGCACAGGTCTATAAATGTACGAGAAGCTTCTACAGGAATGAATCCTCCCCCGATTTGCAAAGGATTTTCATTTATCTGACAGGTAAGACTATTTTAACAAATAAATAACAGTGAGGTCCTTATAGAAAAATCTCAAATGGAGGCCTAGCGGTATTAACCTAGCGATAGCGAGGTCATTACGACAATGCCTCAGTTTGAGAGGTTCCTGCTACAATGAATAAACAGTTGAGGTTAGTAAGACATTTGTAACATGGATCATGAAAAAAGCTTCCGAAGAAAGAGAAAGTCAATTCAAACCAAAGGTCAAACTGCTCAAGTGAAATAAGTAAACTATGGCGTGCTCCGAAAAGTGGTGTGTGGCCAAAAATAGGAAACAAAATTATTGACAAAAACAAAACAAAACAAAATTTTTCTATATTCGAGTGAAAAACGTCCATCTTCAAAACCTCACCGTAAAAAAATTTACGTCCTCATTAGTCATAATGTAACAAATCTGACCAGCAAAAGGGGGTTTTAATCAATACAGCATATCACACCAGTGCACAACATCTGGTTACCAAGTGCATTCAAATATCAAAACCTTTATTAATTTTCATCTTCTCCTTTTTCAGATTCCAACGGAACGATTCACGATTTTGCTCTTCTGCAATATGTTTTTGATGATAATGAACACGAAGTTAAAGTTAAACCACATGGCAATTCTAAAAGTCTTTCCAAAGAGTATTACCGCACTTCGCATACTACCATGGAGCGGTTAAAAGAGCCCGCGAAATCTGACCCTCCCAAGACGGTGTTTTTCAAGAGTATCGAAGAAAAGGGAACAATTTCAGACTTTAGAAACGCAGCTAGCCATGCCAGAAATCTACAACAGATAAAGAACATTAAAAAAACCATGGAAGAGCAACCTGGGGATTCTACACTCGAGCTGATAGACATGCGAAGCAAGGAAACAGAGACAAAGAGAACGCCTTCGTCCGTAAAGTAGAGACCTCGTCAGATCCTTGTGTTGTCCTAACCACTGACCAGCAACTTAAGGACGTGGAAAGATTTTGCACAAATCCTAGCCAGTTCAGTATTTTAGGAGTCGATCCCATTTTCAATTTTTGGAGACTATTATGTGACTCTTACTACATACAGGCATCTCCTTCTCCGAACCAAAGAAGACAAGAATCCAGTCCGGATTGGACCAACCCTAGTTCACCACAAAAAAGAACCATCCAGATATTACGAGCTCTCGTCTTCCATGATAAAGCTGAATGCAAAAACCCAAAATGTTCTAGTATGATGAAATTAGAAGATCCTCGCAGCTAAGAACACTACTGAAACTAGTAGTTGTAAGTAGGACCTGAAATTTATTTTTTTCAGGTCCTACTTACAACTACTAGTTTCAGTAATGCAAAAACCCAAAATGTTCTAGTATATGGTACTGACGGAGAAAAGGCATTGGGTGAGGGTTTCGGTAGACCTCTCCCTTATGCCCAGCATTTACTCTGTGACCTGCATATGAAAGAAAACATAGTGTCAAAAATGAACGAACTTGGAATACGGGGCAAACCATCAGAAGTCATTCTAAGTGACATCTTCGGAGGAGATATTGGTTGTAAGAGGGTTCCTGGTCTTATAGACTCGGAAAGCCACGCCCAGTTCGTGACCAATCTGGAAAAAATGAAGGAGGAGTGGCTTTCCTTACACCCACTCTCAGAGCGCTTTGTTACTTACTTTTGTAAGTACAAAGCGGAAATTATAAGGCAAACGATGACAGCTGAATTGAGATCCATGGCTGGTCTAGGCTGGCCACCAGGTGTATACGATCAGAACGGAAATGAATGTATGAACTCGGTTCTACAAAGAGAGAAACAACTTACAAGGAAAAGGAAGCTTTCTATTCCCGAATTTGCCAGGTTGCTGCAGACGGTGGTGAAAAGACAGAGAACAGAAGAGGATTTAGCATTTATTGGCTCGGAGAGCTAAAAATGGACAAAAATTACGAGGAAGAGGGAATGAAGGAGTCTGTCTTTTACAGGAAGACGAGAGCGCAACAAGAAGCGGCGCTCAAAAAATTTCACAATCTCCCAGTAAAGACAGTTGACATAATTCCTATCGACCTGGAAAACACAAATGAAGCGGACACAATGTCACCATTGAGTTTGCCTCTAGAAGATTTTGGCATTATCCGGGTTCCCTTCAGTATTCTAGCACGTATGTACCATCGTGCATCGTTGATTTTGGCGCGCAAAGAAGAAAATATCCATCCCGATCCTGGAAGAGGGGACAATTTGCCACGTTATGTGGCAAACGAGGCAATTGATGCTCCATCGTATGCAGTTTGCAAGAAACGTACCGTGCGACGTGGAACATATTATGTGTGCAGCGGCACTTGTATCGATTTTAAAGCGTATGACATTTGTGCTCATACTTTAGCTGTGGCTGAAATGGGTCGTTCATTGACTGAGTTCGTTCATTGTTACAAGACAACGAACCAAAGGCCTCCTAACGTGGATGCCTTGATTCACATGGACCTCCCTCCTGGACGTGGGTCAAAAAAGACCAAGGCAACACAAAGAAGGAAAGGTGCTACAAATAAAAAAAGAGAGGAAGTTGTGGAGAGTTACACTAACACCTCTCCAACTGACCAATCAGCATCGAATCCGGCGTCGACTTTAGTAAGATCCTCAGGAAACAGAGGCACAGAGAAGGAAGCAGAGAAGACAACAACACAAAAAGACATAGAAGAGCCTCAGGTATGTATATATTGTAAGGATCATTCACAGTTAATACAGGGTGTAATGCGTGATTCTGTTATCTCGGGTTTTAGATCGGTGAAAGGTTTCAAATTTTTTTGTGTGATTATGCTGCCAACCGTTTGATTTTTTATATCGACTATGATCATGGTAAAGTCCCGCTATATGTTAGCTCTGTGCAAGTCGTTCTATTTCACTAACTGGTGTGCTAATTGGGTTGAACGAAATAAAAACTCTATCAAATAAAGCTTGTAGTGATAATGCGCGGCAAAACAGTCCTCCTAATCACAGAACCTTTCATTTGTAGAAATGGCCTGCAGGACATAAGGTTTATAAGGATTTAGCATCTGGCGAGACCGTCGGCTCGTTGCATAATTCCCACGCAGCCACCGACTAATCTTGGCTGTTAACTAAAATGCCATTAATTTTATTCTATCTGCAGAATAATAGCCCCAACACATCAACGCCGGCAGTTCAAGAAGGTAGTTTCCAGTTGAGCCTTCTTAAAAGATGCAGCCCTCTGGTGAGAAGGTGTTACGGGTGTAAGGGTGTCTTGAAACTAAGGCGTGGTGAAGACTTTTTTATTCCCAACCCACCAGAAGACCTCGTCATAATATCAAGCACCAGACGGGCCTATTGGCAGAATGGAGAGCAAAAGACTGGACGATTAGGAAACGTATACTTTCATTGTAAGGTTGAGTGCGTCCAAAAACTGCAGCCCCAATTTATTCCCTTCTTGGTGATCATTTCGGCGGCAGTTAAGCGTGAATTACTCGAAGTTCATCAAAATCATATACAGAAAGAGCTAGGTCTCTAGAGTACATATGGGGGAAAAAATGCCAAATTCAGGAAATGATAAATTCTCACCATTTATTAATATGTGACTGTCACTGTTTTGTTTGATGACATACAATCACAACAAAAGGTGCTATAACATGTGTAGACAGAAAAGTTACCGTTGCCCATTTCCGCACAGCCCGCACACTTAAAACTTTATAATTTGGTTTTTCCTATTAGTGCATAATATTTTGATTTGGCCTGCAGTTAGCAAACACTTATCGAACTCTGACTGTTTCAGAAATTGGAAAGTTTTCTCTCAAGTCTTTGCGAAATGTCGAAGTCGTTTTTTCATTGTCTCTGAGAGGGCTTACTGTAATATTTGCGAAACGGAACAAAATGAAAACGTGTTATTTGTGAGATTAATTTAATCGGATCGGTAATTTGCGAAAGGGAAATGATTCCTTTGTAAATTAGAAATATGTTATTTTCGAAAAAGTTAATTCTGTAATTTGCACTTGTGTGAATTTAATGAATCAATGCAGAGGCCATATGAAAGAAAATGTGTGCCCTTAAGCTATTAAAGGCGAAAATGTTATTTGAAAAATTACCCAGTGCTGAAGTTGTGCTGTTTTGATCATCAATGTACGAATTGGAATGCGTGACATCACACTCAAGTGTGTGTTCATCGTATCTGAAAAGAGAAAACTGTGTCTCTGAAAAGAGAAAAGATTGCTTTGTACGATTGTACCAACAGTGATTTTATGTAGTAAAGGTATAAACGTTAAAATTGTAAGAGCGCTCGTGAATTCTATGTGCTGCTAAGTTAAGGGCTGAGGAACGGAAATTTCGTGATCTTGTCTGATAAGATGAATGACAAAAGGAAGATAGATAAATTTCACAATTACATACTGTATACCCAAAGGGCAGACTGTTGCTACTAGTGGAGAAAGAAGTACTAGTACGCAGGGAGGGGTGGGAAGTTGATATACTGGTAACTGCTACTGATTTATGGAGTGTTCATTGAATCATACAAATTATTTTGAGCGGCTTTTCGACTGATTATTTGTATGTCAAAATTTTTGCGCTAGGCCGATGTGATAATAAAGATTACTTTTAAGGTGTCATTTCTCCATCTGTATGTTCTTGGTCTTCTTGAGGTTTAGCACAGCTGGATGAGATTGCGTTACCAAATGTAACATTTTCATTTGTGCGCGCTATATTTTTCGTTTTCAGGTATATTTTCTCTCCCGCATAAAATAGCTCCAAAGATATGTTTCTCAAAACCTTATTCTCGGTTTTCTTTATTCTTTAAGCGTATTTGAAACTCTGTACGTTTTTGTTAAAAGTTGGGCGTGACGAATTTGATCTTAAGAGGCGTAAGGCTTCTCCTTTCGCGAATCCCGTATTTATGCCTTTAAGTGTGACATGAAAAGTAGTTCGTGTATTAGAGGGTCGCTGGATTTTTTTTTATTATGAAAATTACAAACAGGAACTCAAAAGATCAAGAGCTTCCCCTCCCAAATTATCCATTCAGGGTGAGGTTTAGAGTAACTCTCTAATCTGTAAAAGTTGTTTCCAAAGGGCTGTATGAAGAAAAATCCATCCATGAGGGCGGGAGTGGGATGGATATTTTTTTGGAATTACGAAATCTATGCTACAAATGCTTTATTACAATGCTTAATTAGGAAAGTTCTTCATTTCACTGTCAATTTTTTTAGCGTCCAATAAATATTCCGTTTAATGTTTTTAATTGCTTTTATTCATGATGACGTCAGGGCTTGTTTATGAGGGGGAAAGAATCGTCTAGAACGATAAAAATTCGTTTAAAACTCGCTCTGGTAAGAAAAGTTTAAACTCAAATGGCCTGGGACTCAAATATGAGATGCACCAATGTTTAATAAGCAATATTTATTGCACTTGATGGCTGTCACCGCTTTTCTTTGGTCTATAAAACGAGTTTTATATCAATTTTTTTTGTGTTGTTGCTGTTTTGTCCCCCTCCCGCGACCATGATTCTTTGCGTTTAAACAATAGATTGTTTTGATGTGACGTTATTATGAATAAGGGAAATTCAGACCTCGTTTTGTTTTGTTCGCTATGGCGGTAGAAAATTTGAACTACTTTTGTAGTTCTTGACACATGTCAATGTTTGTATAATCTCGTCTCATTATATGCACGTAAATAATATATAATAGTCTAATTACTATATATATTAATGCATATATTTTAAGGTAGTTCGGGACTTATAGAAAAGTTTTGAAACTTTGCATAAACAAAGATCGATACAAGTGAAGTTCAGATGAAATAAAAATGGGGGTCACCGCGCTCGTTTTCAAAATAAGAGGGGGTAAACTTCAGCAATCTTCCGTATGTTCGGGGTGGTTTCTTTCAAGCCTCATGAGAAGGGAAGTCCCTTTTTCCACATGGGCAACAAACGTGTTGCAGATGAAATACCCGTTTTATTAATCCACGCCAAGACAGATCTTCAAGTGGCTTCGACGCCAAATTGAAAAGTACTCCATTCTTTCTGAGTTAGGAAACTGGCTCCATTTACAATTCGCAAACCATACGCCACATATGCATCATATAACTTTTATTTCAATTTAATAGCGTTGAAGTCGACCTCACAAGGCGCTAGTAAATACGTAAGTGAATATTTTCAGTCTTCAAAAAGTCACTGTCGTTACATTTCTTCGCAGCGGTTTGAACGGTTACCTGAATGGCATGAATTTTGTTGCATTTATCAAAGATGACCAAGTCAAAGGCGTTGGTATTAGGACAATGGACTATCATTGCACTATATTTATCTCTAATTATCAGTTCTAGTGATTTTCTCGTATCTGTTTTGCTTTGATGTCCACACAAATTTAAGTAGGAACTAGCAGCAGTGGAACTACATGCCTCTTCCTTGAAGGAATACTCATTTTTCACACATTCCTTGAGATTGCTAAATATCAGCTTCTCCCAATATTTGCCAACTAAGTTGCCAGGTCTCCCTGCAGATAGGCCTTTTATGGTATCCACCTGATGAAGAGATGGAGCCTCATTATACTTTATGCTTTGGGGCGTGACACGCTGAATGAATGGTGAATGAAGCCATAATTATTTCTTTCATTTACCAAACGCAGGGATGTATCCAGCCTAGTCCACCGCGGTCAAACGTCCAACGCGGTTTTCGTTTTATTCAGTGGGATTTTATTTAATGTAAGCAAGGATGAGTAAAAAAATTAGTTCACGTTATTATCTTTTAATTTTTCTCAAAATGATGAGCTTTTTTCCGTGGAAAACTGACCAAAACTCTTTGCGCCTGATCCAAATTATGTTGACAAATGGCGTCGACGATTCTGCGGTTCACAGTATTTAGAACTTTTTTGGTAAACTTTCAAAACGTTTGGTAAATTTTGGTAAATATGTTGGCAATATATTAAACTTTAATAAACAGTGAAAACGACTACCTTAACCTTTAAGTACTTTGCTTAACCTTTGCAAATTTCTCTCGTTTGACCGCGGTTAACCAGCCTATAAACCTGCAGATTTGTTCCCCGTGGGGCGGGGGAGTTCGGCTCCCATACTGAACTGACAGCAGGGGGGCTCGGCTGTGGCCCTAAAAATGACCCCTAAAAGGTACTGTATGTTGACTGTTGGCATCTGGTTATCGGTTACCCATTTCAGATGTGTCATGAAGAATTCGACATGTTTTGGTTGTCTGCTCATTCTAGCGCTTAATTTGTTGTTAATAGACGAGGTACTAGTCGAGCACATTTACTATAATGTTTTGCATGGAAAAAATGTTGTTTGTTTACCAAACGGGGAATCGGTAACCTGTAACTGAAAGTCTGAAATCGGTAACCGGTAACTGAAAGTCTGAAATCGGTAACCGGTAACCAGATTCCAATTAGTAATCAATTGACACCCTAAATGGTACCGAGTTAATTATAAAATTGTTTTTTTCAACAGCCCCCCTAAATGGTACCATATCTGGAATTTTACACACAAAATGGTACGGCCGAGCCCCCCTGTCAGTTCAGTATTGGCCCCCCACCCCAGGATTTGATCGCCAGAGTAAAAAAAAATCAATACTTACTACATCCAACAAATAATTAGAATTTTCCAACGTAAACTGCACAACAGCTTCTTCAACCAGAGGGCTAACGACAGACACTTCTTTCAAATCGAATCCTGGTGGTTTCAAACAAGACCAGG